ATGGGAAATTGAGATACAGAGAAGTTTAGTAATTTGCCCAGGGTCCCAGTGCTGGCAAGTGGGAGAGCTGGGATTTTAACTCAGGCAGTCTGGCTTTGGAGTCTCTGCTGTTGACTTCCCTGCCAAACATGCCTCTTTTAGATTGAGCCTTTTATTGCCATGTCCTCCTGCCGCTTTGTTTACTTACCTTATCTACCCATAGACATTCAAATTAAAACACTTCCCAACCCTTTTCATTGTTACCTACCCTGATGATGAGCTTTTGTCTTCCCTTAAGGCTCCATTTTCAGGCCAGGTACCTCGCTGCATTTCATCCCTAGACAGAAGAAATTCCTTTCTTCTCTGAGCTTGTGAGCCCATGGTGTAGGTCCTTCTCTCTTACCACTTAAATTGCTCAGCTAACTAACACCAGCTATTCATTTACAAGCTTTGGTTCCCTCTATTACTTTAAGTTCCTGAAGATTGTTTCTTTCTCCCCCTCAAAGTTCTCTGCCCATAGGACATATTCCATAATTTATGTCTATTTTTTATTTTGGTTTTTTTTGAGATAGAGTCTCACTCTGTTGCCCAGGCTAGAGTGCTGTGGCATCAGCCTAGCTCACAGCAACCTCAAACTCCTGGGCTCTAGCGATCTTCCTGCCTCAGTCTCCCAAGTAGCTGGGACTACAGGTGTGTGCCACCTCACCCGGCTAATTCTTTTTATTTTTAGTTGCCTGGCTAATTTTTTTTCTATTCTTAGTAGAGACAGGGTCTCACTATTTCTCAGGCTGGTTTTAAACTCCTGACCTCAAGTGATCCTCCCCTCCTCAGCCTCCCAGAGTGCTAGGATTACAGGCATGAGTCACCACTCCCACCTGGCCTTACATGTCTGATTAATCAACAGAAAACAATCCTATTCATAAACAAAACAATAAATTTACATATCAATAAGCAGAGTACAGTTTCTGCTTGGTTCCCTCTCATGCCTGCTTTTCCTTTGCCATCGGGCCTGAGTAGGGAGCCGGTGCCTCCACCAGATTTTACTGTCAGGTTCCACTGAGTTATAATGAACACCGCCATCCCATTCAATCTCCATAGACAGAATTCTTCCCCCAGATCCTGGAATGGTTATGCAGGCAAGTTTTAAGACCTCCAGCACTGCCCTAGATTACTTCAACCAGCCAAGACTAGGTAATTTGAAGCCCATAAGCCCCTTAACCCTTGCCTGCTTTTGTGTGCTCCTGAAGTTTTCCAGCTACTTCTAAAGAGGTTTCAGGAAACTTTGTTAATTCCAGAATGTTACTTGAGTGAATCTGAATCTTATTTCATAAACTGAAGGACACAAGAAATATAACTTGATCTATATTTTAAGCCTTCATGGTTTATGTAGAAACTTAATCCCAGTGAGTTTAGGAATTCTAACTCATCATTGTTTGCTTTTGTATTTTGGAGGATCTTACAGTGCTGAGGCGTTTGAGTGTTGGTAAAGCCATCTGGGTATCACTCACCCTCATCCCACGCCGTTGTTCCACCTGGTCCTTGGTGTTTGGTCCCTAAAGGTTGCCCTGGGATAGGCTTTGTTCTTATTGGCAAGATAATGGACCCTTCAGGTCCAATAGTGCCCACTTCCAGTCCTGTGGAACCCTTGAGTCTATATAATGGGCTGTGGAGGACAAGAGTTTGTCTGAGGTCCATCTGCAAGAACATTCATGCAGAACTTGCTACTTTTTTTTTTCTTTCTTTCTTTTTTCCATTTTCAGTTGGCCAATTAACTTTTTTTTATTATTATTATTTTTAGTTGAGACAGGGTCTCGCTCTTGCTCAGGCTAGTCTTGAACTCCTGAGCTCAAACGATCCACCCGCCTCGGCCTCCCAGAGAGCTAGGATTACAGGCGTGAGCCACCACGCCTGGCCAGAACTTGCTACTTTTATGCTGTTCTTGGACATGTGATCTTGAGCAATCCACCCGCCTCAGCCTCCCAGAGTGCTAGGATTACGGGCGTGAACCACCACACCTGGCCCCATCCCAAGATTCTTTTCTCACTGGATCCCGGATATCTATCCATACATCTATCCTTATTTAATATCCAACACCTTGTCTTCCCCTCTCCTACCACCTAGCCTGGGGAGATACTTTCTAGTTAAGAAGACTTCTTATTCATGTAATTCTAAATCAATGTAGTTTTTTTTAATTCTCCAGATGACATAGTCTGTTAAAAATCAAAAGCAGGAAGGTACTCCTATTTCTCTGCTATTTTTCTCATAGCCTTTCAATGAAGTAACAACTATGGAAAAGCTTGGCTGCTGAATTTATTTGCTGGGCAGTAGGTGTAGGAGAAGGAGTAGTGAGAAGAGCTAAGGGAGACAATAGATATCAGAGAAAAAAAATTGGACAATATTCACAATTTCATCATGCCACGAGACATCACAGACATGTGAATATCACCCCATGCTGGTTTGGACTCTAGCACCTTCCTGGGCCCACACTGATCTACACAACATCTCTAGGGCAATTCTGTGTGTCCTGGAGCCCCCTTGTGGTTTAGGAGTCCAGCTCCTACACTGGTTACTTAATCTCTAAGCTTCTCTCCTCTCCTTGCCTCTCTACAGGGAAGGCACTAGTACCCACCTCATAGAATTGTAGCTGGAATTCAACAACCCACCCTAGCACTCACCGTAGACACATAGGCAGTGCTAGGTATTATTAACAACAGTAACAATAAAAGTGGTTCAGGACAGTTTATTGTTCAGTTCTCTCCATTTTCAAATTCTGAAATAGTCTTGATATTGGCTGTCGGATAACTGTTTTTATTCTCTGATTTACCAATACAATTTCAAACATTAGCAGAGTTTTTCTTTTAGCAGCTTTCTGTGATCTCTTCCCACCCATCCACCTACCCTTTCTTACTCCTGTCTTTTTCCCCCTTCATAAACACACTGTTCCTTTCCTAATCAGCACGTCTGCCCCCACACCACCCTGTCACTATCGTAAACAACACAGATGGTTGTTCGGAAACTCTGTTAATGCAAGTGAACATAAGCTAACAGGCAGAGTGTTTTTGGAAAGGTATGGGAAAAACTGAGTCAAACCTGCATGTACTCAGAGCACAAGTTACATAAAGGAAACCCAAGGTGGATTCTCTTGGAAAATGAACAATCTTCTCATATCTTGTCTTGTAAAGGCAATTTGTGTGTTCTATAGTTTTCCTGTAGTGAAAGAAACTCATGTATACTTTGTCTTAAATACTTCGTAAAGTATTCATTTAAATGAATACAGTTCATAAAGGAACAGAGCCAAGTCTGCCATTTCTCTGTTCATATTTCACTATTTCATACCTGTCAAACTGCTAATTCTGTGAGAAGTGGAAGGGATCCTGCATGTTGTCTATTAATTGGTAACCGTATTAACTATTCGTAACACAATAAACAAGGGTTTATTGTGTCTACTCTAGAAACCTTGGCAGATACAGCACTTCTCAGCTATGCCCTGGCAGATCTCAATATTCCCCAAGCTAGACTAACATTTCATCACAAAAACTCACATGACGATTTGTCAAAGAACTTAAATTGATAGTTAGAAACCTCTGTGCATGTGTGCACATGTGCGCACACATGTATTTAATGTCAAGAACATTAACAGTTGTTTTAACTTTTTCAGTAAATTGGTCAGCTGATGTCAGGGCACACATAGAAGTTGAATTCTTTTATTAATATTCATTTGCTCTGCTGCTGCTTATACTTGCCAGCAAACGAATATTAATGGAATTCCTGAAATAGCTGTTCATTGTTAGATTAATTGCCTCCTGTTCTTGTTTTTCATGAACACTTGCTAATGGTTTTTATAATGTAGTGTTATCTAACCCTTTTTATGACAAGGTGTGTATATATGTGCATGTATATGTATGTGTACATATATACATATGCACACACGCACGTATAATAATGTTTATAAAGAACACTGGAATAAATGGCTCAGGAGCTTGGCTGCCCAGAGGCCAAGGGGATGAACGCACCTGCATCCTCTTGAAGACACACCAGCATGCCCTGTGCATAGGCTGAGAAGGCGTATTTTTGCAGAGAACATTATTACCTTGATCTTGTGATGGCATTAATGGTTTCACTAATCACCAGTGTTCTGTTTCGTATTCTACAAAACAGCACTGTTGCTCTCCAGCTGTTCCCCTTTCTGAGGAACTTGTAGAAAGGGAAAGAGGGGAAGAAACTCTGCAGGGTCTTTGCTGGGTAGGCAACTTAGGTCTCTACTCTCCTTTTGCAAGCAAATGATTTCCCATGAACGCTGAGTGCAGAGCTCAGTTCCCTCAAGGTTCAGAGGGAAAAAGAAGTCAGGCATGCTTCTAAAAACCTGATTATTATCACTTCTTGGTCTTTTGGTTAAGATCTAGTGTAAAAAGCTCCTGGCTGTGTCTGAGCTGATCTGCTTCTAAATGCCAGGGCCTCCAGGATGCCCTTGTTCCTTCTTTCTTGCACGCTCATTGTTGTCTCCTACTCTCAAAACAAACAGATGCAAATATATAAGTTTCAAAGCACTTTCAAAATAGTATAAATGTAAAACTTTTCTCTCTTTTATTTGCATTTAAATAAAGTATCCTTTCATCACTTCAGGTATGTTATCAAAACAGTGATGGGCTCATTTAGGGGAAAAAAAAGAGCTTCCATCCATTCACAAGTCCTAGGTTTTGAGTCCCAGAACTACCACTAACTAAATGGGCAAATTTAGTTAATTTCTAAGCCTTCTCAATAAAATGGGGCTGATAATAGCTGTCCCATTCCCATGTCAGAGCTGACCTGAAAATGAAAAGGAGAGCTCATATATAAAACATTTGTCAGTCTGAAAGCAGAAGGTAAATATAATTTGCTGTTGCTGTAAAAGTGTCCGGGGAGCCACCAATCCAGTGGCAGTTACGTGTAAGAATTTGGGTACTGAGAGTTGGTGAATATAGCTCTGGTAATGACAAATTTGACACGTGCTCTTCTTCCTTATTCCCTTTCTTATCCTGTAGAGTGACCTGATACACTTCCTGGGACTGAGCCATCACCTGCTTGCGCTGAATTTTATCATTGTTTCTTTTGGCAAAAAAAGTGCATGGTCGTCTGCCCAAGTGAAGGTGACTGACACTGACTTTGACAGCGTGGAAGTCAGAGTGTTTGAAGGCCCTCCAAAGCCAGAAGAGCCACTGAAACGCAGTGTTGTTTATATCCACGGAGGAGGCTGGGCCTTGGCAAGTGCAAGTATGTCCTGGTCACCTTCAGATTGTTTGGCATTGTGGTTGGCCCTGGGGAGATGTGTGACTGAGTTTGGCTTTCTTAGTGGGGAACGAGGCGGAGGGACCGTGTGACTCAGTTCCCCTGGACGGTCCAATTACCCTTGTTGTCCCAGTATAAGTATAAATAATGTATCCTTTTCACTCTCAAAAGGGCTCTCTGGTTTGGGTGATAAATTATATGATTACCCAAGTAAAGGTGTTTGCTTGTTGATTTGTTTGTTAATTCAGAGAGGCTTTTTTTTTCCTTCTGAGAAAGCGAACAAGCCGATGAAAATATTTCCTGTGTGCTAAATCATAGACTAACTTATTGTGAGGTGCTGATGATAGCTTTCTATACCAAAACAAGGCAATGGTGACAGAGTTTTATGTGTAGCTCTTTTGCCCATTTGTGCTTTGAAGACGTATTTCTATGAAACAGAACAGGTATTTTCTTTTTTTCTTTTTTTTTTTTTTGCAGGAAGGACACTCAGATAGGTATTTTCTTAATTTACATGTTATCTCAACATTTTATCTACTTATGAAAGCAAAGATTAAGATATAAAAGGTATGTAACCATTAATAGGAAACAGTCTTGCAAAGTTCAAGAATATTTTCTTTAGAGTTGGACAGCTTTCACGAGTAGAGTACATTCCAAATGGCAGGCAGCCAACTAGAACAGCCCAGGGGAAAACCGACCAAACAGGCTGTTGGGGCCTTATCTCTGCTATGATGATCATGGAACTATTAATACTTCCTCATCTTTAGCCCCCGGCTTTTGGCATCCGCTAAGTTTAAAAGCAATGGCAATTTGTTTGCATATTTTATTATTATATGACTTTTTTAATGCAGCAAAAGTCAAAAGTGTAACTTTTTCTAGTAATCCCATTTAATTCCATATCCATTGTTTATTCTTTTATTCAGTGATTTTTTTTTTTCATGTTTTCAGCAGATGTTCACTGAATATGTGAGTTTCCTGGGGTGTAGGACTTCAGTGCAAAAGCTCAAACAGTGTGGGCCAGCCTGGACCACTGGTCACTCTGATGTGGACAGAGTCTGTGACTTAGAAAAGGCTGAATCTTTAGCATTGGACACTTGCCGGGTGAGATTGTCCTGGAAGACAGGAAGTGTAGGTATCAGGAATGGTATGGGTTACAAGAGCCAACCTGGCTTTTTCTGGATAATTTTGACTGATCACTCCTACCAGAGGAAGAGCTTGGGCTGGTCGAGGTATACAGGGGCTTATGTAGTTCTTAAACCTTTGGTTCTAAGACTACCTTGGAAAGCCTATAAATAAGGAAACATTTGGCTCTCTATTGCCACAATGTAGATATCAATTTATTGAAAGGAGAAGTAAGACATTAAATTCTTACATACTAAAATTGTTTCTGTCACTGCAGATCTTTGGATCCTCTTTCTAAGAAGTGCTAAGACTTCCTAAAATTCTAGTTTCTTATATGTTGGTTTAAAGAGAATATCATATTCTTCAAATTGGTGACTTTCCTGAATTATAGCAAATGAGGATGTTGAAAGGGCAAAATTTTATGAAACTGCTTACTAGCTGTGGTTTTTTTGAAAGTTATATACATTTGAAGAGCTACAAAATCAGAATTAATTTGGTGCATTTCATATAGTCCATTAAGAAATGAATGTTTAATTAGTTAAAAACATATTCAAAATCTAATATAGATTTCCTTTTATTTATGGTAATTGCATTTAATCTGAAACCAGATTTAATTTTTGCATTTGTGCGTTAATTCTATTAAGACACTTGTTCACGTTTGCTTTTTATTATGTTTTTATTATTAATAACTTAACTCCAAATCTAAAAGCAATCCACACTTAGCAGAATTTAAGATTTAAATGATCCGTTTTGCAGTGATTGTTCTTTGTCTCTTTTAGAAATCAAGTATTATGACGAGCTGTGTACAGCAATGGCTGAAGAATTGAATGCTGTCATTGTGGCCATTGAGTAAGTAATTAATGCTAGTCTTGGAAAATCTTATTTTATTAAGAAAGGATTGCAGATAATAGTCTAATTTTGCCAGTGATAAAGTAAAGTCTAAAATAAAGGTCCAGGGTGGGAAATGATTTGCCCAAGATCACACTCCACAGAATCAGAAAGAAGGGATTTCTAATATAACAAAATTTCCTGAACTGGCTTTATAACACTTTGAATTACCTTTTTTATTTTTAGTTTTGGAAGCTCCAGGAAAAGGAATTAACTGAAAGCTAGAGCAATGTACAATCAGTTACCTGGAACATAAAAGTTTGATACTAACTTTTTAAATCTAAAAAGCAATCGGGATTTTAAGAGAATCTCTCTTACAGCCAATTGTTGGAAAATTTGTTCTCTTAGAGTCAGATTCTATAACTTGGACCTTGGGAATAGAAGTAAGTGTTCAATAAATCTTAAAAGGCATAGTTAGTAGTAGTCATAGTAATATTAGTTGTTTGAGTTATCTCAACCAGTTCCAACTTCCAGTTAAGCTATCTCAATCAGTTCCAACTTTTCTGGGCAACTAGGAAGGATGTGGATAATAATTATAACAATTATAGTGATAGTAACGATACAAAAATCATGCTGTGGATTCTGTGCCATGAATTGTGCAAGAGCTTTTGCATGCCTATCTGTCTTCCTTTAGGTCTTTGTTTAGATACCATCCCTTCAGCCAGGCCTTCCTTGACAAGCCCAGGTAAAATTGTAGCCCACCTTCCTTTGCTTTATCTCTCTCCAAAGCTATATCATCAATGTCTTACAGACCATATATTTAACTTATTGGTGAGTTTTCTTCATGAAGATCAACAAGGAAATTAACGTATTGTGTGTTTATTGTAGTAAATGGAAATAGACAATATGAACTTCATAAAGGCAAAAATTGTAAGGCTTTTTGTCTGTTTTATTCATTGCTGAATCATCATTAGTGCCTGGAAACATCCCTGGCGTATTGTGGGCATTCAGTAAATGTTTATGAAATGAATGAATGAAGTGTCTTACTTAATTCTCAAATATAGTGTCAAAAGATAATATTTTGATATCTTTTTCACAAATAAGGAAATTGAGACCCAAGAAGCTAAATGATTTACATGAGGCCAAATAGCTAGCTAGTCACATAGATGGTCTAGGGGAATTGAACCCAGATCAGATAGTTCCAGAGGTACCTATACCTTTTTGACCCATTATCAAGCCAATATTGAAGGAAGCCGAGATGCGGAGTGATGAGACAGTGCCATCAACCACTTTTCATGCCCCAAGCTCATTCAGTTATCCCTTTCCCCTGCCTCCCTGTCACCTGCTTGCCCGTTGATGGCTCACCTCCTTGCTCCTACTCTAGATCTGAGATCTAAAATCCTCTTTTCTGCCTTCTTTTGGAAGGGCTATTTTTGACCCTGTGGACAAAAACCATAGAGTCACACAGAGTGTGACCTCTCCTCCTTAGCAGATTTGGCCACCTTCTCTCCTTAGCAGATTTGGCTCCAGACAGCTCTGGACAGCTCCCAGGCCTTTCCAGAGTCTCAGCTGGGCCTCCCAGATCACTCAAGGGCTCTCAGTGCAGTTGGGTAATGCAGGAAACTTCAAGTAAATGATTGTGGCAGCTGGCCAGAGGAAAGCGGGGCTGTTTAAGCAGCGAAGCCTCATCATGGGACAAGGCCCTAGAGCTCAGTATTGGACAAGCTTCAGGAGCCCAGTGGTGGTTTACTGTGTAGCCCTAGCTTATTGCAGGCCTGAGTAAAGGAGGGAAGCTGCGCTTACTTCACTTGGGAGCAAGAGGATTCTTTATTCACCACACAGGACTTACCCTCCGAGGCTGCAATATTAGCAATTGGCAACATGCCCCGCAGCTGTTTCTACGTGGCCTTCTCTACCTATCAACATCTGTCTCAAGTAAAACAGGTTCTTTTGAGTGTAGGGTTATAATAAACCACAGCAGAATGGATAAGATTTTTTAAGGAATTTTTTTTTAAAAGTACTAAAATATAGAAGGGACTGCTTTCATCTTCACTTCCCACTGTGCCTAATCTACACAGCGTGGCATCCAGATGGGAGACATCACAGAGCAGCCAGCAGGGACCATGTCTCATGACTGTGACCTCAGGCAAGTCACTTAAACTCATGTCAAAAGGGGTTCGGAATCCTTCCTGTATGTTTTGAGCTACTGGGAAAAGAGCCAGGTGTGGTGGCATGTGGCTGTAGTCCCAGCTATTTGGGAGGCTAAGGTGGGAAGATGGTGTGAGCCCAGAGGTTTGAGACTAGCTTGAGCAACATAGTGAGACCTTGTGTCTTTATAAAAAATAAAATTGTGGGAACAGAAATCATGTCTTCTTTGCTTCCAGCACCTAGTACAAGGCGTAGAGTGTGCGTCCTAAGAAAATAGATGTTGAGTAGCAATAATGACTTCAGAGAGTTGTCATGAGAATCAGTTTAGACAACTGATATAAAAGGACTTCTGATGTCCAAAAGCACTAGACAAGTCTGGAGGATTAGTGCTGTAGTCTATAGAACGAGAAGGTCAACTTACAAATGTGCATTTGGAACTCAGCACTTTTTTTTTTCAGAAATAATGAGATGATAGTCCTTGTTAGGATCCAGGCCAGCCCACAGAGAGCATATGTTCTAGTTAAGGTATAGCTAACATCATATGATCTTGTCGTTTCTCTTGGAAAGTATGTTCAGAGATCTAACTTGGGAACATAATTCTTCTCACTGGCTCACTTCTTTCCTCTTACTTTTATTCCATAAATATTTATTGAATTCCTATTCTATACCAGTTACTATGTTAAGTTCTGGTAACGGATTTAATTCCTGCCCTTATGGCGTTTACCGTCTAGATGAGAAAGCAAACCTTGAACAAGTCATAGTAAGTGTGAGAAGTGATGTGAAGTCGAAGAGAAGTAGTAATGGAAGCATCTACTAGGCAAGACCTTAGCTAGTTTAAAGGGACAGAAAAGGCATCTTAAAGAAAGTGATGTTTGGACAAGCCCCAAGGATGAGCAGAACCTACTTAGACAAAGTAGTTGGCCATGGGAGTCCAAAGTGGTGTACTGAGAGAGCTTGGGAGAGAAAGGAGGGGGCAGAGAGCATTATGGAAATGAAACACGAGAGAAGACAGATGGGATGGAAAGTCCGGGGGTCACTGAGGAGAGCAAAAGTAAGGGCGGGTGAGCCTGAGGGGCTTCCGGAGGATGGTGGACCCTTGCTTCTCCTGGAATTCCACCTTCTAGCAGAGAGGCTGTCTGCAGCCAGCTGTTCCTTATCCTTGAGGCCCACAGGAGTGGGCAGTGGTGTCTTGGCTTCACTTCATGTGGGTCGTGGCATTGGGGAAGGTGATCGTCTGTGGAAGCTAGTGGGCAAGGATTGGGGACAGCCCTGGTGATGGAGTCACCTCACATGATGTGAGACCTGGAATGGGGACTTCTTGAGTCATGTCAAGGGTCTAAGGATGGACCTAGTAACTGAGGGAGGTAAAAGCCTTGAGTTACAAGAAATAGGTAAAAACCATGCCTGCTACATAGTAGCTTTTACAACACTATGCTATTTTTATGTATTGATTGCACAATGAGTAATTGTTAAACAAATGAAAAAGTTTAACTTACAATATCATTTCTAAGATACACAGATGTATACTTACTTATATAACCTAGGAAGGGCTTATTTTATATTCATAAACTTCAATGCAGTTAGCTAAACACAGTACCTTTTTATCCGTAGTATGTATAATGAAACACAACACTAGAACCCTAAGACAAAAGTGTTAATGAAGATTTAATTATCTTTAAAAAAAATAAAATACAAGATAATAAAGTAGGTATGGTGAATGTTATTCTACGAGGGATTTGTCTTGCTTTTTGGGGTGTGGAAAATGAATTCAAGTTGTGGTTTGCTTTTAATTAAATCTTTACTACACTCATAAGCTCTCCATTTTATATGGATGCCTTTAGCCCTATTTCCATTCCAGCAAATGGTAGGTGGCATTGTGTGTAGAGAACTTGAAACTTTACAGAGCTGTAAAGAACACTGAGGATCTGGACAGAAGAGATGCTGGAGTACTGATCTTGGCTTGCTGCTCACAGAGTTATGAGCAATGGCACTTTCGTGCCCCTGGGTTTTTTTATCCTTAAAATTAGAAGAGTGCAAGCTGACAAAATCACAGTGCTTTTAGGAGGCACGGTAGGACACGTATCTCCATAATTATTTGTACATTTGAGATAGTCTGAAAAAAACTTAATGACAATGACCTAGCTTTGACCTTCACTCTGCTCCTTGTCCTGCTCTTCCTTAGGGTCATGATTGAGGGGAGAAATCCTTGCTCATCACCCACATGGGGCAGCCCTGGAAGGTGGGCAACCTAAATTCCTTAGGAGTTCCCCTCCCTAAAAAGGGAAGACTTGATCAAAACTTGCCTTTTACTCAATCCAGGCTGACTGACCTTAGCAAACCTAAGTAGCCTCAGAAATAATTTCATACTACAGAAAGAAAACATTGTTGCTTTTAAAAAGTGGTTTTTTTTTCCTTCACTATTGTTAGAGAATCTCTCCTTTTAGATGTATTTAAATTGATGTCACCTTGGCTCTGTGTTCTACTAACATTAAAAAAACCACCATCTTCTCTTTTGTGGTTTAAGTCTTTTAGAATTTTGAGGGTGGTGGCGCTAGAAATTGGAGCTTTAGAAAAGGACTATGTTACAACTACAGAACGCCTATGACCCCAAACCGCTGTGAGCTGTGAAGCTTCCTCCCACTCAAACCTGAATCCTGTAGTGTTATTTTTAGCTTTCGAAACCACGCCCAGGGATAAAGGATGTGCCTGGCACCAAGCGTGCTTGGCTTCGGTGGCCACCTGGGGGAGCACGCTGGCTCTCTGTTTGCTCTTGAGATTAAAGAAGAGGTTTGTTTGCCTCTGAATGGGAGGAGGCAGTTTAGATAAACAAGGAGAGCCTGTGGACCTCCCTGTTGTTTACATAGACGCGTCTCCTAAATCTCAAGTTGTGAGCAGATCATTGGAGCTTCACAGGGTTCAAATAGATCTCAAGTCTAGGCTCAGTCCTATACCTAGGATTTTGGTATAGCATTCTGACATTGTAGATTCTTTTAGATGTTATTCTAGTCCCATCAGCCAAGCCTTTACTAATCTCTGCTCTCCTTTGCTGAGTGACTGGTGGTCAAAGCTATCTCAAGGAGCCAATTTTGAAAGTAGAAACAGAAAGAAAGACCCTCAAATTTTATGCACAAATCACATTTTATGAATGAAAAAAGAATTAATAGTCCATTCACAATCCCTCTACTCAAGTGCAATTTTATTATATGTTCTTTTAAATAGAATAGAATAAATAGATTCTTTTTCTGGAGTTGTCTCCCTCAATTAAGAGAGCACAATATGGATTTAATCATTGATTTGTTTTAGCTATCTCTTACTAAAGATATGGGTTTTCTAAGATGGGGTAGTGTTAACTTTTTTATATTCCCAAGATAAATCTATTGAGCTTTTCTTGGGAGATAGAAAAGAGGGAGAAAAAAAAAATGAAGAAAGGAGTGAGGCTTCTCTCTCTCCTGCTGAATGTCATAGGAGTATGGTTTCATTCCAGCATATCACATGTACCTTTCACCTAACTGGCACTACATGAAGAGAACTCAGTGCCTTTTCCCACAGCAGAAGATTGTACACATGGTCTCCAGGTTAGGTTATTCGGAGGGGGAATGCCCACTTCAACCCTCTAAGAACACTAGTGTCATTCAAGGCTTGGAACAACTCCTATTTCCCTTTAACTCACAGCTTGAGAGAGTGTCTGCCTTTGACTTAAGTAGCAATTTGTCAGTCTTTCTGAGCGTTGCTGTATCTCTGCAGTCCCTGTTAATAAATAGGTAATGAAGTAAATAGTAGATCATTAGAAATGGTGCTGCTTATTTCAGGTTGGGTACATCATAACACATTGGTACGTAATTATGACTTCCCATCCACTTCTGGAGAAAGTTGAGATGTCTGTGTTATGACATATTACCAGAGAAACTTTGAAGGCTCCAAGGAAGTTAAGTGACTTTTAGCCTCTGGAGACTCAGAGGTTTAATGGAAGAAGTGATGTTTGAAATGAAACTTAAAGGATGAGAATATTTGATGAGGAAGCCGTGGGGCAAGGGCTAAGGGGATAGAGAGAGGGACCAAAGCATTGGGAATGGGGAAAGGTGCAAGGTGTTCTGAGAAAAGTGAGGATGTGATTGGACTGCATGATACTTCTGAACCCTGGCCACGTTTAGAATTACTTGGGGAAATTTTCTTTGAATGTAGATGCTGGGCCCTACCCCAGACCAACTGAATTGGAATATTTTGTAGAGGGGCTCAAACCTCAAGGTTTTTTAAAAAGAAAAACTGCCAAGATTATGTAGGTATGGGAGGTAGATACAAAGTTGAGAACCCCTGAGCTAATGCATAGATAAATCTTTAAACTTTTGTTTGGAAAGAAGAAAATTGTGTAATTAAGTATGTACCATAGGCCCCGCACTGTGCAAAGCATTTTGTTTTGAGAATATTGCAAAACTATTGAAATTGTTAGAGAACTTCTGAGATGTCAAAAATCTATAGTTTTAAGAATTTACCGCTTTGATGAGGTAATGAGAATACGTGTGTGTGTGTGTGTGTGTGTGTGTGTGTGTGTGTGTGCATGGCTGTGGGTTTTGAAGAATGAGAATATATTTAAAAGAGAGAGGGGCATAGGTTTTGAAGTCATTTTGTGAGTTTAGAGACCAGCTCTTCACTTATAAGCTGTTGCAGACAAGTTGCACATCCTCTTTGAGTCTCACATTCTCATCCTTAAATCCATAGATGGACATTTGAGCAAAACACACCTGTAGAATACTTGGCGAGGTGCCTCGACTAGCAGGAATGTGATTTTCTTTATATACTACACATTTTTTTCAATTGATTAAACCCCATGCCTGAGTTTACACCAAATTTTATTCTTCTAGCAGAAGGTACATGTTGTGATAAAGCTGGCATTGCAGAGTCATCTATCCCTGCAGTGATTGGGGCAAATCTATATAATAAATATACCATAATATGAATAATATTTATATTTCAGATGCTTTATTTAATTCAAGATATACAACTTTTAAAAGAAAATGTCAGAACACTCTTTCAGTACTTTGCAGGGACATAGCTTTGAACACAAGCAGCAGATATATTTATGTATGCTTTCCTTGGCTGTGCCTCCCACAAATTTCCTCCTGACTCTTGGTTTTATGTGTCTATGGAGATATTATCAATTTTTGTTTCTCAGGTGAATTTCAAGCTACTTTGAAAGTTCATCTTACACCAGGTCACCTAAGAAATATCTAGTTTCAGTATACTCTCCAGTCTACAAAAATGGTGTTCCCTTTTTTTGAGTGAAATCAAAGAACGTTTCCAGCTTGAACATAGATAAGGAGAGGGATTAGGATATGCATTATTAAGGGTATCAGGAAGACTCTTATATCATAATCTGTTTTTAAGCATATTTACCCTGTTATCTGACCCAGTTATTAATTGACAAGATTGAGCAGTAGCACATTCTTTTAGATTACTTATTTCCCTTGATCCAAAGTCACTGAGACCTTTTCTGAAATAGCATCTGAAAACTCAATTTAATTAAAGTATGTATGCCAGCAGAATATGTTCCCACCACCTGGGCAACAAGGAAAACAGTTTATCATGATATGTGGTATAGAAAATGGGCTTTATTTTTACACTTGAGTCATAAAGTACATTTGCTTTTATTAAAATTAAAAATTCACCTCAGTAATATTGAAGACAAAAAATTGAGACCTCCTCCAAAAACTGGGAGGTAAATAGAATCATGGGAGATGCCGCCACCTAGTGGACAAAACACAAAACGCATACTCATGCTTTTTTGGCCCATTATTAACGAATGGAATCCTATAGCAGCAGCTTTAAGACAGTGAAAAATCAACTGGATAAAAACATTTTGGATAATTTAATTGATAATCACAAATAGAAAAATAAGAAATGAGAAAGCTTATTTTATCCGCCATAAGGCAACTATAAGGGAATTTATTGTTGCATTTAGTTTCAAAATATAATAGTTCCCAAATGAACAGATCTACATTCACTACTTATCAAAGTATTTCACAAATATTTGTTCATTTGATTGTATCTGCACTGAATGTCAAGATTTTTAATTAGCTAGCTGTATTTTAGATGGGGGAAAATAAATGGCATTATATAGCTTAGAAAAAATTAGTTTCTGAAAATAAATATGCAAATTATAAGATGGAGTCTTAAATGTAGTCTTAAATGGCTATTATTATATTTTAATTAGGTAATTAATTTCTATCCTACCTCATTTTGGTCTGTGTTTGACTTATTTTACAAGTCAAATAACTTTTCTGTGCCTCAGTTTCTTCATTTGTAAAATGAAGGCATGTTAATAAAAAAGGTTTATTGGGCCGGGCATGGTGGCTCATGCCTATAATCGTAGCACTCTGGGAGGCCAAGACGGGTTGATTGCTTGAGCTCAGGAGTTCAAGACCAGCCTGAGCAAGAGCGAGACCCGTCTGTACTAAAAATAGAAAGAAATTAATTGGCCAACTGAAAATATATAGAAAAAATTAGCCGGGCATGGCGGTGCATGCCTGTAGTCCCAGGTACTCAGGAGGCTGAGGCAGGAGCATTGCTTGAGCCCAGGAGTTTGTGGTTGCTGTGAGCTAGGCTGACGCCACGGCACTATAGCTCAAGCAACAGAGTGAGACTCTGTCTCAAGAAAAAAAAAAAAAAAGGTTTATTGGATGGATGATTTCATGCCCAGCACATTGGTGGATACTAGAAACACAAAGATGAAAAAAACACAGTTCCTCATGTCAGAGAACATGATCATTAGAGGAAATATATAAAGAAATAATTTTAATATGAGGCAGCAAGAACAGTGACATACACCAGCACGTAGAAATATCAAGGGATGGTGGCCAACTCAATCCCAGAAGCAAGTGGAGATACAGTCCAGGAAGGCTTCCTGGAGGAGGCCAAAGCCTTCAGGTAAGGCTTAAAGAATGACTGAAAATTAATAAGCAAAAGAGGAGAGTGCAGACTGAGAAGGCATTCCAGACCAAGACTGCCTATGTGTAAGATAATATTATGTGTGGGGCATTTGATAAAACCAGGGTTCTTTGGGACCCTTAAGAGAATATGAATTCTACTAGGTGTACAGAGTAGGATCCCAAAAGACTCTGATCTTGCAAAGTGGCGTGGTAGGAAGAGCCCCAGAAAGATCCTAGAGAGTATGCATAGGCTGCCTGGCAAACTTAGTTTTCTTTTTGTTGATTAAAACTGGCCTTTTAGTTCTAGTCTTCTGGGGAGTGAATGCATTGCCTGGGTTTAATGTCAGGCTGGCATGGACCTCTTCAGTGGAGTACAGTTTTATTAAATTTATCAAATAAATTATGAGGAATACCCTATGGACTCATTAAACATGAGACCAACAAGGTGGTTAACGGTGCCGAGTCACTTTCTAACCCACAGGTGTTGTGAGTGGAACACTGACTTGCAGAAATAAAATTCTGAAACCTATTATAGTTCTATTCGTATCTTTATAATGAACATCGCCTTTTACTTTGAAGTTCTGTTTTGAGTTGTTGTTGGTTTTGTTTTGTTTGGTGGCTGACTATAAAAAAAGAGACTATTGCTAATACAAAATCATTACCATTTAAGCTAAGTATTTGATTTGCAAGAAAATAAATGGTTTAGTTTTGTATTTATCTTGATTTCTTATTGATTATTTCTGGCTTTAAAAGAACCAGTTTCCCTTTAGACTTTAAATATCCTATAAAAACTTGGTGGAGGCCTTACAGGAATACAACTTTTGTCTTTATAGATACAGGCTGGTTCCAAAGGTTTATTTTCCTGAGCAAATTCACGATGTTGTACGTGCCACAAAGCATTTCATGCAGCCAGAAATCTTACAGAAGTATATGGTGGATCCAGGCAGAATCTGCATTTCTGGTGACAGTGCTGGTGGAAATTTGGCTGCTGCCCTTGTACAACAGGTAACAGCGCTGCCTTGGGGTGCTGGTGGCGGGAGGGCACATGGTAAGGTCCAGCAGACCCACACGTTCTCCACTTCACGTGGCAAAGGCACTGTCAGGTGAGCTGGTCACTAGATGGCCAAGTTAGTCACACTGTTGCACTTGCAGCATTCTCAGAGATGCTTTCAAATTAGGAAGATGGGACATTGAAGGAAGTGTCATCTATGAGTCCTTACAAAAGCCCTGATTATATTCAGTGTTAGAGAAGTGCTAACGTCCCTTGGTTCTTCTCCAGGATATGCATGGAAATTACATATCCCTTCCTCCTTTTCCATGTTTGACCTACAAAAAGGAATATTTTTGTTTATATTCCAATTCCTAAGATTCTTCCCTCAGAACTTTGAGCCTAATTAAAAAATTGAAAAGTGTTTCCCCCAATTTTTTAAAAATAAAAGTAAAAATTAACTGGATCAGCCATTTCAATTGTTATGCTACAAGTTAATCTGTGCTTTACCTGTTTAAATTCTTTGAAATCTGTGCCTGTCTCAAATGGCACCCAAATTTTTTGGCAGCTGTGTAAACTCAAAGTAAACACAACATTTTCTTCCACTTATAGATTAAATAACCTAAGAATAGCATTTAGTAGGATCTCAGGGTATCCTTGCTGATGAACAGTTAGTATTCACGTTTGGCAAGAGAGCAAAAATTTACGTTAACACCCAGGCGTGCTAAGTGCCAAAAGATAGATACGAGTGAAATATGAATGGGAGTTTAAAAACCTAAGAGATGATGTACCCTTGAAGGGTTTGTTCAAAACTATGAATTGCAAACATCATACCTTTCTTTGTAAGCAGCCAGCAGCTTGATGGGGGTGGTGGTGATGGGAATTATTTCTCCTTTAAACTATCATGTTTAATACCATGCCTGTTATAAACTAAACACTTACACCTTTGACAGGTTCAAAGTAACACATTAAGATACTTTATAGGGTATGGTTTCTGTGCAAGGAGCTATGCAAAATGAAATAATGTGTTTGCATCCTCTTCTCCAGTTTAATCAAGACGCCAACCTAAGAAATAAGCTCAAACTGCAAGCTTTAATTTATCCAGCTCTTCAAGCTTTAGATTTTAACACACCCTCTTATCAGCAAAATGTGAACACCCCAATCCTGCCCCGCTACGTCATGGTAAAGTATTGGCTGGACTACTTCAAAGGCAACTACGACTTTGTTCAGGCCATGATAGTTAACAATCACACATCACTGGATGTGGAAGAGGCCACTGCCCTCAGGGCACGTCTAAACTGGACGTCCCTCTTGCCCGCATCCTTCACGAAGAACTATAGTCCTGTTGTGCAGACCACGGGCAATGCCAGGATTGTCCGGGAGATCCCTCAGCTGCTGGATGCCCGCTCTGCCCCACTCATAGCGGACCAGGAAGTGCTCCAGCACCTCCCAAAGACCTACATTCTGACGTGTGAGCATGATGTCCTGAGAGACGATGGGGTCATGTATGCCAAGCGTTTGGAGAGTGCAGGAGTGGAGGTGACCCTGGACCACTTTGAGGATGGCTTTCACGGATGCATCATTTTCACCAGCTGGCCCACCAACTTCTCGGTGGGAATTCGGACTAGGAACAGTTACATCAAGTGGCTGGATCAAAACCTGTAAAGAAATAAAACTTCTAGAAGGCTCCAGGGAGCCCCTCTTCACCTCCTATACCTGCTTTGGAAAAACATGCACTTTTGAGTTGACTAATCCTTCCTCCCACACCCACGACCCCAGCCCCTAAACCCCCACCCCCATTACTTGTGAGTTATGGAATCTCTATTCCCTGCAGACTTTATGATAATCTAATATTTTAAAATGAATTTGACTAATTGAAGTGCAAAAACATCTGACTTTGGTTCCATAGTGGGCCAGTCTATTCATGTTATTTTGATCAACTACTACTAATACCTACAGCTACAGAAAGCAGGGCTAGGAGCTGCAAATAGCTTTGGTCCTGCCTTTATCTAGATTCTCCTTCAGAAGAAATTCTTCCAGCTCTGGATGATATAATGACCTTTAATGAGTTAAGAAAATGTGGGCTCTTCTTCAACTTGCTAGAGCTTATTTTAGGTGCAGAGCAGTATTCAGTATGTACACTTTCATCTCAGTGCTAGGGACCAAGTACCCTCTGTGGTTGGATGGTTTTGTTTCCTATGGGAATTTTGGCAAAGGCTTTCTAACAAGAACAAGTTTCTCAACAGACTTTCTTCCTATAGTGTGTCCATTTTATGAGACATAGTTATCTATAAGTCCAGCTGGATTGTAATGATACTTGAAAGTTTCTTTCTACCACTATTATTAGAAAACATAAAGTTGCATGCACTGGATAGCTATATATTTTTAAGTTTTTGTTGTTTTTAGTTATGCCATTTCATTGAGTAGATCTTTTGGGAACAAATTTATTTAGATTTCGAACAAGTTTTCCCTTACATAAAAAGTAAAAACAGGCCAGGTGTGGTGGCTCACGCCTGTAATCCTAGCACTCTGGGAGGCCAAGGCGGGTGGATTGCTCAAGGTCAGGAGTTAGAAATGAGCCTGAGCAAGAGGGAGACCCCATCTCTACTAAAAATAGAAAGAAATTAATTGGCCAACTAAAAATGTATAGAAAAAATTAGCTGGGCATGGTGGCACATGCCTGTAGCCACAGCTACTTGGGAGGCTGAGGCAGGAGGATCACTTGAGTCCAGGAGTTTGAGGTTGCCGTGAGCTAGGCTGATGCCATGGCACTCTAGCCCAGGCAACAGAGTGAGACTCTGTCTCAAAAAGAAAAAAAAAAAGTGAAAACAGACAAACGAAACAACCTATTGTTTCTCATAAAAATACTTCTGACATAAATCACCAAAAGCAGTGTGTATATATTTGGCATAGTCAGAAAATACATGTAATGTTTGTTTAAAAGTATGAAAAATACCTTTAGAAGGTCTAGTGTATGCTTGGAAACAACTCTTGCTAAGTGAAAGAGTGAGGTCATCTAAGTGAGGTCATCTATATGGCTTTAAAATGGAACTATTTTGGTATAATGTATTATTTATTTTTAAAAATTATTTAATGATATATGTAGCTAGACTTAGGATTTTTCAGAAAGATGTCCATAATAAATATTTAAAATAATGGCATTTTAAAAACTATTTTAGGGTTTAAAAAACTGCTTAGAGTTATATCCACGTGTAATTTTATGGAAAGAGATAAAATAGCTATTAATACTACTATACATTAAGCATAAATATTTTGATGTTTATGTACAAATATAAGTTAACATTAGAAACTATGACTGCACCTAGTAAAGTCATCTAAGTTTGTAGTTCAATAGCTTAGACAAGACGTATACTGCTCATGTCTCTGCTCTTTATAGTCAGAGCTCCATATTCTTCTGTGTAAAGGGCATACATAGACACCTGGTACCTGCATCCTTCATTTTCTCCTTCCAGCCAGGTCTAGACGTTCTAACAGCCCAAGCTTAACTTCATGTAAAGTCTTCACTGCCAGTGGGAACGAACATCTTTGGCACAGCAAGAGGCTCCAATTCTGATTTGCATTCCTCTGCCCTCCTTCCTGCCACCCTTCCTCTGCCCCAGTTGCTTTTAGCTGCCGCAGTGAGCAGCAGTACAGCTGAGGAACGATACAGTGCACCGTGGAAAGAAATTAGCACCTTTCCACTCCCTTGAAGAATGGTTATTTCTCACTTCTGGCAGTGAAATAACAAAAGAAATTTTGCTTACTGAGTTTTCATTTATGTGTATGAGCCAGCAGCATTTTATATACAAAACAGAAGTAAATGCAACTGTGTGTGTTATGTGTGCGTGTGCCTGTGTGTATATCAAAATAATCATTCACGCTAACTTGCTTATGTTCTTATACAAGTCAGTTACCATCTCTGGGCCTCTTCTCCCTTTCCTGTACAATCAGAGAGCTGAATTACTTGATCCTTGAGGTCTCTTCCAGTTATAAATTCCAAATATTTTGTCAGATTGGCAAATTATATTGGCCTTTTCTTTTACAGTGTTTTTTTTTTTTTTTGGTGTAGGCCATAATTCCTTATACACAGACATTTATATCAACAAATATTTTCTTCCTAAAAAACTGGGATTTTTGTTTTCTTATTCTATGATAGCTACTCTCCTCATATAATCCTATTCCTTTTGACAGTGTTTTAAGAATGTTTGGACCTTATTTTGAAGTCATCTATCTCTAAGAAAGAGGAATTATAAGGCATGCACGGGCTGCCTTAAAATGACATTTTTTTTCCCCCTCAGAATTGTGAGCAAAATCCTGTAGTAATTATAGATAACAAATGATTCCAGACCTCTAAAAGGCTCTCTCAGATGAAAAGGGAGTGAAAGGAAAAGGGGGTCAACCACTGTTTCTGATAAAATACTTGAGTTTCATTGTTCTTTTAGCTTTTATTCTTATAAAAATGTTTATGTTTTGCAGAATGATCTGTTTTTAGTATTATGGCTTTGTTTTGTCTTTCTCTTTTATGAAAAAGTTGGTAATCTTTTGTAATATTTTCTGTGAAATATGAACATTAATATATGAAGAGAAACCTCAGAGTGCTGCAAGATGTAGTGAAGTGTAAATCTTAAAGTTTTATCATTCATTTGTTAAGAACTTAAAACTATTGTATAATTATCTTGGTGGATATAATATTTTCTGCATGACCTTTTAACATTTGACTTAGCTTATTTCCCACTGTAAAGGGGAAGGCAGATTTTATGAAGGATTTTAGTAGCAAATATATTTTATAAAATGAAAATCCACTGTGGAGATAGGAAAGTATATATCTGTTTTGAATCATGTTTGGAAATAAAGCGGCTCCGTCTGGGAATGTGTCTCATTTCCCCTTGTCTCATTATCTGGCTTTCACTTGAGACAGTGTTGTGTCTTTTTCTCTGTATCCCAGATCCCTAGCCACAGTTCTACCCAGTCTTCTTCCCCCTGGTGCACTCAAGCTTCTTTCAATCACTGAGGGGGGCTCAGGGACCTCCTTGATGGCATTCATTTCTTGTCTGGATACAGTGACTGTTGCCCTGCCCGAGGAAACCTGCTCAGACTGGCCAGAACATTCATAAAAGCCAGGCGGGCCCGGGACCTATTTTGGGGTCATCAATACACATTAGGAAAGGATGATTATAATACTGAACCATTTCAGCCAAAGAAGTATCAGTATCACTGAAGGTAAGCTCTCTGTCATTACAAACATCTAAAAATTTCACACTTGAGTTTAATATGCTTAGTTTATATCAATACCATAGGAAGTTACTTTTTTTCTAGAATGATTTGTTTATATTGGTTCTAAATGGTTCATCTTCTCCAGCAAAACCTCTTGGTGTGTGGCTATATTTGGCTGGTAGGATCTGCTAGCAGTTCCAACAATTCTCCTTTGGGGCATTTTAAATGTAAACTCTATGGGGTTTTTTGTTGTTATTTCTTTGTTGTTTTTTTTTGAGACAGAGTCTCACTCTCTTGCCTGGGCTAGGGTGCCATGGTGTCAGCTTAGCTCACAGCAAACTCCTGGGCTCAAGTGATCCTCCTGTCTCAGCCTCCTGAGTAGCTGGGACTATAGGCATGTGCCACCGTGCCCGGCTAATTTTTTTCTATTTTAAGTTGTTTAACTAATTTCTTTCTATTTATAGTAAAGACAGGGTCTCAGTCTTGTGCAGGTTGGTCTCGAACTCCTAAGCTCAAGCAATCCTCCCGCCTCAGCCTCCCAGAGTGCTAGGATTACAGACGTGAACCACCGGGCCCGAACTAAACTCTGTTTTTATATTGTTTTTCTTGTGATTTTCATTCTCTTTTTATTTCCTGTGCTTTTTTTTTCCACCAGCATCTCAGATTTTCTAATGGACTCCCATATTTAAACATCTAGAATATATTGATATCAGTGTGAGATTCCCTAACTCCTAAATATGGAAGATGTAAATATGACTTCTAATAGGCTACATGAATGGCTCAGCCCCAAGAGTGTAGGAAGCTGGTGATGGCATTTGCATGTGTCTTCTGTTTGGAAGGCTCCTTCCCAAGATTTTCTCATGGCTGGCTCGTTGTTGACATTTCAGATTAAGTTCCTCCTCCCCAGAGAAGTCCACCTTCTCAGCCGGACAGTCTGCCTACGGTAGCACCTGGCCCTCCTGGGCACCACTCCTCACCCCAACCCTCTCCACCTGTCTGTTTATTATTGCTGTTTTCTCATTTCTCTGTCAGAAATTGTATTTATTTAATTATGTGCTTGTTTTCTGTTTTCTCATACTTAAATGTAAGCTCTACAAGGGCCAGTACTTTGTCTTGTCTATTCCTATTTCCTCAGCACTAACAGCACACAGTGGACTTTCAAAAGATGTTTCTGAATAAATCCTCACCAAGGAAAATTAAGCTTATAAGAATTAGGTTATTAGTTTCCATGTTTCTTTTAGAAGTAAGTTTATGTCAAATATAAATAGTTACTTAAGACAAAAAAGTAAATATTTCCAAACAAAATTAAACAACTGAAAGTAATCTAAGCCCCATTTTTAACTACCAAATTTTAAAGCAAAAAGTTCTTTTGAATGAATGAGGATTTTGTAAGTCTGTTCAGAATTTTCCTCAGCAGATATCGAATTTTTACTATGTTGGATAAACCATTGCAAACTGCCCTAAAAGAATGATCTATATAACATATTTCACAAGTGTTCCACAAAAGTCACTTTTAGAGTTTTAGAAATTTTAACCAAAGTTAATTCTATCACTTTTATGATGTTGTCTTCTTTCTGTTTTCATTATTTTTTAATAGAGAAAAAGATGTTCTTTATTCCAGTCAAATTCATGAAATCAAGAAATAACAAATATTTATTTTGCTTGGCCACAAGCAAAGGTTAAAGTTATTTTTAGTATTCTACTTTAAGGTAAATGGTTTACTAAGCTAAGTGACATCTCCCCTGCTTACTTCGTTTCTATTGCTCCCATAGAATGAAGTTTCCTTCCTTCTGGACAAGGCCAGAACCTCAATTTGTGTCCTTAATCCAATTTATTATTGTCTCTGTCAAGGACTTGCCAAAGCATCTCCCTCTCTAGTATCTGTCTCTGTATCTTAGTCAAATCCGTCCTGTCCAGGAGAAAAATCCCCTTCTGTCCTTTATTTACATTTTCCTTTTTTTCTGATCCAAACAGAGTCTTCTATAGTCTCAAGATTTAACAAGTATCATAAACATCACAAAATTCTATTTTATGCAATTTCCATTATAAAAGAAAATTTTAAAATTTAATATATATTTAGGTTGAACGACATAAGATTTTTGTAGATTAAACTAGTCAAATGTCATCAATTTTATGTATTTCAATCTGATGGTTTCCTATTACTGGATTCTTAGGTTATTTCCAAATTTTATTTTATAAACATTGATAGAATGAACATTTTATTCACAAATCTCATTGCAAAACTTTGATTGTTTTCTCAGGATGAGTTCCTAGTAGTGGAATTGTCGAGTCAAGGAGGATGAACATCTTTATGGCCTTTGATACATGTCTCCCT